GAGAAGAAGAAATTGCTAAGTCTCTTGGAGAAAATTGTAGCACTACCTGTCACTAAAACCTACTCGGAGAAAAGGAAAAAAAAATACTAAACGATTTCAGTTTTAGAAGAGAGTAATCCGCAACCTCTAAAAATGCCTCAATGCTTTCGAGAAGAGGGGTAATCCGCACTCTATCAAGAAGGCAAAGCTCTGAAATCGATGTTAACAGTCTTTTCTACTAGCTATGCTAAACAAAAAGAAGGAATTAATATCAGTCCAAGAGAGGGTAATCCGCAACCCTTAGAACACTCAAGTATCTCCAAGGAAAGGGGTAGTCCACTCTCTGCCTCAAAGAACTAAGCTCTGATATTGTGATTGAGAAAATATCAATTTAGAGGAAGGTAATCCGCAATCCCTAAAGCGCTAGAATACCTTCAAGAAGAGGGGTAATCCGCTCTCAAACAAGAAGGATTCAGCTCTGATATTAAGATAAAGGTAGTCTCGACAAACTGTCACGGACACAAAATACAGACTTGAAATCTAACAAGAAGTTCAAGAAGAAGTGGCAGAACTAGATTAAACAGATGAGTACAAGAACAACACCAGAAAGGTGAGCTAGAACTCCAAGAGATGTGTTGTCGAGACTGAAGAACTCTTCAGCCTCGACTCCTATATATACTACTGGCCTATGGTTCTAAGGAAGCGCATCAAGAAGCTTCCCAAGAACTATGAAGCTTCTCGAGCAACTACCCAAGAGCTAAGAAGCTTCTCAAGTAACTTCCTAGAATCTACTAGAATATTCTAAGAATCTTCTAGAGCCTTCTAAAGGAATCTTTAGGAAATCTTCAAAGAATCTTTAGGAAATCTTTGAAGAATATTCTAAGAGAATATTCAAGGAATCTTCTGGAAGTTTCTAGAGACTTCTTTCTAGAAGGTTCTAGAAACTTGTCTCTAGAAAGGTCTAAGGACTATGTCCCTAACAAATATTTAGAATTTAGGATTAGTGAGGGTTCCTGCAATTCTTTAACATCTACTTATTTGATTAAAGTGAAATTTAGTGAATACAATTTTGATATAGCTATGTACACATTAGCCAATTTTTTTAGCAATTGGATGGTTTAGCAAAAAAATATTATTGCTAAAAGATTAACATCTAAAATAAAAAAGAAGGATAGATGACATTCAAGAGGTTTAGAAGCTTTTTCTCTCAATTGATGAGTTTTATTTTTTTCAAATTTTTTATGCTTATTATTTGCTTATAGATTAAAATATAGGTGAGTTTTTAGTTTAGATTGACGATCTAATGCATAGTTATTGAGATTTTAAAATTATTATAAGAGTTATTTTATATTTACTTAGAATTTTATTGAATTTATTTAGAATGTGCTTAGAGTTTATTAGGATTTTGTTAGGATATGGTTAGAATTTTATTAAGTTTTTTTTTAGAATTTGATTAGAATTTGGTTTATATTTGGTAAGATTTCCTTAGGATTTTATTAAGATTTGATTAGAATTTAGTTATGATTTATTAAGGTATTCTTAGGATTTATTTAGAATTTGATTAAGAATTATTTAGGATTTTTATTTTTAATATTTCTTTATAATTTTTTATAATATATATTTTCTTAAAATTAACTTGTGATTTCTTTATATTTCTTTTATAATTTTTTAAGACTTCTTTTGGATTTGATTAAAGATTGATTAGCATTTTTAAAATTTAATCTTAGTTATTTTATTACAAGACTTATTTTATTACAACACTTATTAGAATTATTAGAAAATTATTTTTGTAAAAATAATAATAATAATAAAAAATCATAACCAAGTATTCTATATATTCTCAAGCAAACTTCACTTAATACGACAATGTACTATAAGACCTCTAATACATGTCCAACTTGCAAGACATATGTTTTAACTTGCAAGGTAAATTTTCAATATATGTGCCACATAGCTAGTTTGTACCACAAGCTACCAATAGTTATGATACATGACTAATTTGTTGGCCAAGTTTTTAATCTATCAATCAACTACAAATATGTATAAAGTCAAAGTGATGTCTATGAAGCTTCTAGAAAGCAACCCTATAAGATACTATTAAATTTATCTATTTTTACCTACTTCTACCTATTCATATTATCTAAGTAATTATTAGAATAAATATGCATTTCCGTAATATTAAGATGAGATTTTGCAGTCTATCAAAGTAATTTGCTTTTGGAATATTGACCTTCTTCCAAACACAATGACTCACAAGAATGTAAAAGCCCACAAAGCGGAAAGTGCCATTGAGCAAGATCTTCAAACAACAATAGATTTCCTTTACTTGTATTGTCATATATCAATCAAATTGCTTTTTAATTCAATTGAGGTAGTTCAAGAAGCACATCAAAAGTATACTAACAAAGATTTAGTAGTATTGGTGATGTATGATGACAATGAGCCACATGAACAAAAAGATTCCAATTGCAACCAAACACGTCCAACTCTAATCATGGCTGAAGAGCCAAACACAATTGTTTTGGGTGAGAAAATAATGGATGTCAAAATTGTTGAACAAAGAGAGGCCTTCAAGACTGTAGGCTGTCTATAAATCAATCTTTGGGCCCAAAGGAGCATACAGATATGCCAGGATGGCTGGGTCATTGCCAATTCGTAAACCTCTTCAAACAAATAATTTCATACAATTATATGAGCTATCAGAAGTTATCAGTAAAGGCAACCGGAACGGCATTCGTGGACGAAATATTTATCAGATTTCGGGGACATCAATTAGGTGTTTGACTGCACTGACCCACGTGACTTTCCACGAAAGCCTAGGGTATCTGCTTACGTGGACACGAGCGAGCGAAACTCTCCTCTTCAAATCCGTCATGCATACCTTACACTGCATTCATCCGAACTAAAATCACATCCAACGACGTACAATCCGGAATTCAAATGTGGACTGTACTGTGCATTAGCTATAAAAAGAGAAAACAATCAACGAAGAGATGGAATCAGAATCTCCTAATTCATTCAAAATGAAACCGACGCATGGGTCATCCTCCCACAATAATAAATTTTGAATCGATACTCAATCCAAGACACAGCTCAACTAACAACAGCGTGGATTTCAAAAGACTGCCCAAACCACCGCCAAAACAGGAGGTGGAGTCAGAAGCTGGTACCCAGTTGACGAGAACAAGGTACTGGGCATCGGAAAAGCGGGGAGTAGGAAAAAGAAGAAAGGGGAAGGGAATAAAGAGAGCGAAGAGTGAAGGGATTCCCCCATTTTCCAAAGCTCAAAATATTCGTCCCACAAGCACAAACAAGTGTTGTAATCAACCCCACCTCTCCGTGTTGGCTGGCTGGGTTGCTTGCTTGCTTCCACTTCCGATCGACCCATCGAGCACTGCGCTGCACCAGAGTCGATCAAATCAAACAACCAATCAATCGATCCTGGTATGTATGTGTGTATGTGTGTATGAATGAATGTTCTGCTTTGATGTTGTGTGTCCGCCCGTGTCTGCAATCTCTTCTGTGGGGGTGGCGTGGTTAGATCTGGAGGTTTCTGGATATTCTTATTGTCCGTGCTTTGCGCAATGTTAGCAGTCGTGGAGGAGGTTTGGTGCTGGTGGTGTTGGTGTGCTTGTGATAAGAGTGGGTGTGAGATTCGATAGCTCATTGGGTGCATTGTGTGGAGTGCGGGATTGGTGGCACTGAGGGCGTGGTTTGATTGATTTGTGAGCAGATCGGGGGGGAGAAGGAGGAGAGAGAGAGAGAGAGAGAGAGAGAGAAAGAAGCGGCGAAGCAGGGACGATGGTGCGAGGAGGGAGCAGCGGTGGAGGGCAGAGTTCGTTGGGGTACTTGTTCGGGAGCGACGCCCCTCCAGCGAAGCCCGCTGCCCGGGCTCCCGCAGCGGAGGCGCTGCAGGCCCCAGTGGAGCAGCGGGCGGCTGGGGTTGCGAGGAGCAGCGTGGCGGAGGAGAAGGCAGCACCTGCCGCGGTCCCGGCTGCGAAGGTGGAGGAGGTTGGAGGGTCGAACGGAACCAGGTTGGGGAGGAGCTCGAACAACTACCACCGCGCGGACGGGCAGAACAACGGGAACTTCATCACGGTAAGTGTGGAGATGGGGGGAGCGTGGGGCGAGGGGAGGGTGGGTGGATAGGGGAACGAGTCGTGGATGCGGAATGTGGAGGGGAAGGGTGTGCGATGTGGTGGGGGAGTGCATTTGGATGACGTGATGTGGCGAGGAGGTGAGGCTTGGAGGTGGAAGCAAGGTGTGTTTGTTGGGGGGGGGGTGGTGAGGGTGTGGAACGGTGCGATATGACGGGGTATTGTGGATGGGATTGCAGGATCGGCCATCGACGAAGGTGCACGCAGCTCCTGGTGGAGGATCGTCTTTGGGATACTTGTTCGGCGGGAGCTAAAGGGGAGGCGGGGGTGCGAAATGGTGGGAGAGTGGGCGTGAGGGGGAAGGAGTGGAGAAGGGAAAGCCGCATGGAGTGATTTGTGAAGAAATAGCAGGGTGTGGGTAGGGCGGAATTGGTGGGAGAGGAGGCGGGTACGCGGGTCAGAGGTGGTGTGAAGTAGAGAGGAGTAGGAGCGCTCGTTTTGGGAAGATGGCGAGGTGTGATGTCAGAATAAGGCAGGCGCTTGAGTTTGTTGGGCGGAGGCGAGGTTGACGCGAAGGGCTAGTGATCCTGTTGGTGGTGGACCTCTGAGGTCATTTCGTTTTGATCGGTGTTGAAATGGGGGTTGAGAAGGAGTTTAGGATGGTTGAGAGGTATTCAGTTGAGCATGGAAGGTTATGAATATGGTGCTACGGACACCTGTGCAGCTTGATTAGCAGGAGTATGAGGGAGGCAGGAAGGAGTAGGTGATGGTGTGCGTTGTACAAGCCAAAGTAAAGAAACTTTTATAGATTATCGCGTTGTGAATGATGTTGAAGTGGGTAGGTGTAGGAACGATTTTTGGAGGCCAGAGGTTGTGGTGTGAGTTTGTAGCATTGATGAAGCAGTTGTTCGTTGATTTGGGTATGCAGCGAGATTTATGGTCGTTGCTCGTGTTGGATGGTGTTTTATTGGGTCATACGGGCTACGCACAGGTTTGGCAAGGTCAGTTCAGTGGGGTTGAGGAAGATGATGGAATGCGTGAAACATGCAGTGGGTTGTTTTGAGTGGATAGTGCTCAGAGGTGGGTGGGGTGGGATAGGGGGCAATCTGGGCAGAAGAGGTTGGTTTCTGGATGCGCACGCAGCAGAGATTGGAGGAGTTTGTGACGGCTCGGATGGGTGGAGAAGATCGACTTTTGCAGCAGAGTGTAATGAATTGAGGGGGTTAGGATTATTGGTATTGCGGAGGTTGGGTGAGGAATGCAGTTGGAGGGAGGAGTTTTGTGGGAAGCAGGTGGGGAGAGTTGCCGTTGATCTGCACATGCGATTTGTAGAACTTACGTGGTTGTTTATTTATATGTTTGTTTATTTGTGAAAGAACTACTGGTTGACGCAGTTTTTGTTCTGTTGTTTAACTAGGCAATTATTCATTCGTAAGAGAGCACGTAAGTTTACAATGTCAATATTGTTATGTCAGTGCATCGAATTGGTATGGCTAGAAATCGTTCTTGAATGAATGTGCGATGAAACTTTGGTCGGTTTTATGTAGGTCATTTGGTGAATTTTCAAGGACGTTCAGTACAGCAGTACAACACTTGTCTGGTATTGCGAGTAATATCTGGGTGACGTTTGTGTAATTGTTACTTGGTTGATTTTTCTGAACAAGAGACAAGATGTTAAATACTGACCCTAAGTCTAAACTGCAGTTACTTTCACTTTCACTTGACGACCAAGGTCTTTCAATCATGATTGATTGTGTTCTCTAGAACAGTAGGGACAGGGCCCCCTCTTGGTTGATAAGAGTTGGGGGTTTGTCTGTGCTGTGAGTTGGTATATAATATTTGGATGGGAACTTGTACTGGATAACGCCTTTATCTGGGGTTTTCTACTCCAAATTATCCTGTGTGCCCGTTGCCACCGAAGAAACCTTTGTAGCGTCTATGATGAATGTGGTTTCTTTTTATTAGAGGTTTTCCTGCGTAGGTTGGTGGTGGATTGTCTGTCCGTATGTATTCACTAATCCACATTGTCTCAAATACCATGTCATTTAGTTGTATGTCGCTGAATGCCACTTTGTTCCGTTTTTATTGAGTTGTTTGAGTTGGACGGAGTTGTTTGAGTTCCTTTTGTGGAGTGGTTGGGTGATTTTGAATTTGGTTTTTGAGTTGTGGTACAGGCGCATGTAGTGTTAAGGTGGAGGGTGCCGATGGAGGTAGGAGCTTGGTATGAAGTGTGTGAGAGTTGCAGCAGTTGGCGAGCTCAGTTGAATTATTGTGAGGGTCGATATCAGGCGATGAAGGGAGGACACAGTGAAGTGGTGGGGTTGGTTTAATTTGTGGAAGTATGTCGGGGATGGGTAGGGTTACGGATCCGGAGATGTCAGGATGTGTTGGAAGCGCGCGTGTTTTTCTTTCGACGTTGTTTGGGTTTGTGTGGAGTGTGGGTGTCCCTTGTAGGGGCATGATGTTCAATGGTGGACACTGTTGATGCAAATGCGTTGGGTTAGTGGGTGCTCTCCAGTTGATTGTGGAGCCATGTGAGTGGTGGGACTAGTGTGTGGATTGGTGATGGCCGTCAATTTCTTCTTGGATCCAAGAGATCATGACGGGTTCTCATGTGATGGGTGTGAATCATTGTTGGGTTGCCCAGGAAGGGATCTCGGAGTGTTGGGAGGTAAAGGAAAGTGGGAATGGCATCTAGAATCAGTAGTCCTAGTTGATGTGAAAGATTTTTGTTACTGTATTTCCAGTCACTCGTTTTTCACAAGTATGTTGTGCGTGTGGAATGGTAACGGTATGTTTTCGTGTCCCCGTTTGCTATTAGAGACCCTTTCACTCCTGTGCATATTCCCGTTCGGGTGTCTAATTTCTTCTAGACTTGACAGTCTTGTGAAGTGCTTCAAACTGTTTTTTTCGTATTTGTGTTGCTCTCGCTTTTTTTGAAGTCGATTACTTGTTTTCTAGAATTTGATGTTCGTGTACGATGTGAATTGATGCGCTTGAGAGGACTGAGTGAATCTTGCTCTAAGCGGGAGCTGGAACGCGTGGGCGAGGTTGAACACGTGAGGTCGTTGCGAGGTGATTTTGTACAAGTGAAGCTGCGTTGTGTTGATTCGAGTGGACTGTGCCGCTTGCTTCCACTCGAAGGTGATCTTGGAACTTAATCACAAGTGGGTCACATTGATGCAGAGACTTGGGTACGAGTTCGTGCTCTTCTTGAATTGTGGATTGCGATGGATCAGTCGATACTATCCCTTGTTCATACTTGCATTGGAGGATCTGTGTCAACACGTCTGTTCTTTCATCACGTCTAGATTGGTGGAGAGCAAGGACATCAACTTCATGACAATGCATACATCTTGGAGCCAAGAGAATCAGAAGAAAATTTGAACTTGACTTGGCTTTGAGAATGGGTGTACTAGAGTAATGAATGAGTTGAGTTGCCTACCAATGCGTCCAATTCTTGTGCCGTCAGCTTTGGAAATTCCATGCGTTCAAGCTCTCCTAGGGTCTTGTTAATTTCCTGTTGCAGAGAAAAGCACGTCATTTCATTGTTTGACATGCTTTGTGTGACAGCACTCAGTACCGTTTTCCTATCAGCAGTCTTGTTGGTGCAAGTATGTATGGAACGATTCAGTTCTGGACATGCCTCAATCCGCTCTTGGCCTTCCCTACGCACTCGTTGATCCTCCAAGTAGTGTTTAACTCTCATGTCGCTGGTGTTGGCCGAGTTTGAAATCGACATCATGTCATGAAATTTATTGGTGCTTGGTTTCGAGCATTTCTCAGTCCTCGCTGTATCCATTCCTTGTTTTGTTGATACAGAGGGAACTCTTGAACTTTCTCCTCTTGATGAAGTGACTGACATAGAAACGTTGACGAAACTTTTCATTACGTAATGTTTTAGCATGTTTAAGTTGCACTTTATTTATCTGTTTACTCATCGGCACTAGAGCATTCTATCGCACAAAGCAGAATGATTGTGATCTCGCAAGCCTGCGTTTAATATTTAAGTTCACCGTTCCTTGCTTAACTTTGAATGTTTTACTTTACTCTACTGTTCTTGTCTGTAATCAATGCTCCCACTTCGTGAAGGATCAGAAAAGGTTTATTTTATAAAAAGAATACTTCTATTGGTTTAGTGTTTTACTTGGATTATGGGTTTGGTGTTGGAGTTGATCTAATTCAACATTGATCTGAGCTATCCTTTTTGCATCCTCATCATCAAAATCATAACCCTATAAAGTTTAGGGAGATTAGTAAATGTTAAAAGAGCGAGATTGAAACAATTCCCTGGTTTATTTACAATGGTTACAACTTTGGGTCATGTGATATCTGTTTTGTTATGACAAGAATGTGACTATTTTTGTTGAATGGTTTATAACAACTCACGGTCGAAGTAAATGATGCGACACTGCATTCTTCATTTAATATGTTATCAACATCTGGTTGGGCCAAAATTTGTTCCACAAATGCTTCTTGTTCTTCCTGTAAATATTGTTCATATTAGTTTTTATCAGTGTCGTATGTACATATATATATATATATATATATACATATATATATATACGTGCACTCTTTAGTTCGAAATTTTTAAAATTCTGTATTTCAACTTACGGTGAGTTTGAAATAACGAGCATCTGGTCCAAGTTTCATATTTCGGAGTATTTTGTCTTTGTGTGATCTTTGTCTCGGTTTGGGTTGTACTTCATGTGCATTGTTGACTTCACTTTAAATATTCACATAAATTATTTTTAGTATTATCCCTAATATTTAAATTTTATCTTAAAAAATCATAATTTAGTACCAAATTGATTTTCCAAGAACAAATATGGCACAAGATTTTTTTGACATGCAACTGTGTAGCTCAAATTGTTTAACAAGAAAATGTTATTGATTTTGATATTCTTGATTTTCATAATAGAGAAAGAAAAACTGGAAAGAGATAGAAACCTTAGTAATTGTGAAATTGGTTCATTTTCTTGAAATCGCTTCAAAGAAAGTTTTTCATTCACTGGTATTTCTGAAACTTGGACTGTTGCACCTTTTTCCATTTTAACTTGTGGATCATGATCTAAGTTGTACACATTTTCTAATCTTCAAACAAAGTCAGTTAACATCAATATTGCCGCCACACATTTTTTATATAAACATTCAATTAATTTTTAAATTTTAATTTGAAACAAAAAAATTAAAGTATCAAGATCTAAATTAAAAGATAGAGGATATATATATATATATGTCTTAATTTGGCTGCAATCAAAATCAAAATCAAACTACACATATGCAGAAACACGTGTTTCATGTATATACGTACACACATATACACACATATGCATTCTATCATTTCTATAATGAATTGAAACAATAGTCGTCCACATTCTTTCGATATTAGTTAGAGTAAAATTTATTGATCCATACAAGAGTTAGAGTCATTACTTTTTTGTAGAATTAATTGGTTTTAACTGAAGTATTGTAGTTTCATCCTGTTATTTCAAAATATAAAATATAAAAATATTGAGTTAGCATAGAAAGGATGTCCCATAATATCCAAACATATAACTGCACAATTTATTAAATTAATATTTACTTCAAGTACCTTTCCATAACTTAAAAGTCGTTGAGTATTCCTCTCATAGATTTTTTCAAAATATGTTTTTGCTGCTTTGGGTAATTCTTCAAATCCAATAAACTTTGAATTTGTACTCTTGTTACTCATTATAACATTTTTGGGTTTTTTTGGTTTTTTAAATGTGGTTTTAAATGCTTTTTGTGACAAAGTTGAATTTAAACTAGATTTGGAACTAATAGAAGAAAAAATATCATTATCATCAGCTGCACAAAGTTGTTCAACTTTTAAACATGGCTGTCTTATGGAACCTTCCAAATTGTCTTGCTCAAATGGTTGTACACTACTAATGGAATTGGAAAAGAATTTCTTTGCAAACTTTACTTTACTTTTAATGTGAATAGGCACGATATTGGCTCCTTTGGATTTATGTTTATTTGTGGGATTCAAAAAATCACCAACTTTGGTGTGGTTCAAATCATTGGTTTCAACAATTTCATGCTTTTTGTGATTGTTTGATAAAAAAATTGAATTTGATAGCAATGGTTTGTTTTTACAACTTTTGTTGAACGTTCCAAGGTCATCTACACAAAATCCACCTGCATAGTCACAAAACTTGGTTGATAATGTTTCCCAATTGTGACATTCATTGTTGTCTTTGTCATCTTTTATTTCCTAACTTGTAGAAATATTAGTTGATTCATGTAAAGATTCATGTTCAAAATTAGATTTTTTTTTCATGATCATGAATAAACTTGTGTTTACCATGAATGGAATCCATAGAAACATAATTTGGATTCAAGTTTTTTAACACAAATTCCAAACGTTTGATTTCATTTCTTTTCTTATGTGGAATTTTGTTTCCTCTTTTGGCATTACTTAGAGAAGTTGGGTTTTTGTCGTGGAATTTTGCATTGAAATATGCTTCAAAATGTGTATTTAATTCTCCTTTTGAATTTTTTGTTTCCAAATCATACAAATTCAAATTGGAATCAATTTTTCTATCTATCCATTTTTGTATGTCAATGTCCCTTTTCTTTCCAATAATGAGATTATCTTCAGCAGATCCCAAAACACTTCCAACTGTATCATGTGGACTTGTAAGATTTGTTGTAGAAGCATCAAGTTTGTTAGCATAACAATTTTTATTTATAAAGTCTTCTCTACTTTGTAAAATTGAGTTGATGCCACTTTGGTTTGTATGAAACTCATTGTTCAAATGGCAAACATCATCATAAAGAGGAGAATTCATAGTTTGTGGAAGTTGTGTGTGCCTCTTTCAATATTTTTTGGGGTTGTACAATGTTCTTCTTCATTCCAAAAAGTTTTTTTACAAATTCATGTTAATGTAGAAATTTTGAACACAATGAAAGTAAATTCAATGACCTATTTTGTTGATGTTTCATTCAATTATTTTTCTTCAGAAATTTCAATCTATTATTCAGACGAAGCAAAAACAAATCTGATTGTAAATGTTACAACAATGTTGTCAATCAATGCATTACAATATCAATTCAGGATTACTTACCAAAAGCGTACAAAAACATCAAAATACATATTTTCCACTCATATTATATTCATAGACCAAATTTTTCTCATGACAATAAAACATAAAAAAATCACAAATTAAGAAAAAAGAAAGTACAAATCCTTGTCCAGACCACAAAACATGTCATCAATTACCAGTTATTTCATTTTGTTTTCTCGTTGGTTTAGATTTATTGCGTCCATAGAGTTTACTGATTTATTTATTTACTAATAAATCAGAGTTGTCGTCATTTTCTTCAATGTTTGCCCCTTATCCTTCCACACTTTTTTCCAAAAACAATAGTTGCTATAGTTCAATTAGAAACATACAACAATAAAAATCCATTAGTGCTATTTTTTTCCTAAATTTCCTTCACAAAGCTGTAACCTAATTACGTGATTACTCCATACCAAAAATTAAATTAAAAATTGAAAACGCACCAATTAATCTGCGCAGCCTGATCTCTCTATCAAGGCTGTGATTGCTGACATGGAAAGGCGAAGCGGCTGAGCTGGACAGTGACTTGGCATGTTTCTGCCACGCAGACCAATTCTCAATATGTCGCCCGTCCGCCTTTCAAATACATAGATCTTTCAGATTCTACTAATAAATGAGGAACATCTACGGGTTGCGCGGAAATGTAAAGACGAGGTGGGGGCGAGACAAGCTTGGAGCTGGGTTGGGCGAGGCTGGCTATGGCGGAGCTGAGAGGACGTGTGGTATGCGTGGTTCTGGCGCTGCGAGCGTCGTCGTGACTGGAAGCTGATCGTCAGAGTAGCGATGGCCAGGTTGTGCAGAGCCTTTCTCTGCCTCGTGCTGGTTTTTTGCGCGGCGGGATACGGAGCAGCATGGAAGGAGGCCGAGTTTCGGAAGTGTCATCAATCGAAGTTCTGTAAGGACGTGCGGGAAAGGGCGGCGGCCTGGGCGCGAGGGGAAGGGGGCAGCAACCTCGAGGTGAAGGGTTTGAGAGTCACTGACGAAGGGCGCGTCGCAGCGCGCTTGATTCCTGGCGGAAATGAGCAGCAGGCTCTGGTTTTGGAGTTGTCAGCTTACAGAGATGGGATTGTGAGGACTAAAGTGGCTGAGGAGAACGCTCTTCGCAAGAGGTTTGAATTACCCGATGTTGTGGTTGCTGATTTTGAGGCGAAGCGTCTCAAAATCGATCGCATTGCAGAGAAAGATGGCGCCTCTGTTGTTGAGTTGAGTGGTTATGATGTGATTATTCAGCATAAACCTTTTCTGGTGAGTGTCCATGCCTTCCAAGTGTTCCCATACGGTGCGATCGGAACATGGTTTCCTTTGGTTTCATTCTGATTCTCAGTACAGTCATTTTATGTTGTTTTTGTGGGTTCTTAGTAGCATGCGCTCGTACATTTTTATCTTTTTTAGGGCTAGAGTTATGTCAATGTATCGATTCAGCGACATGCTTTGTCCCCCCCCCCTTTTTTTTTCGAATTTTTTTCGAATGTTTTTACAGATGTAAGTGGTAGTTGTAATCGGGCGATCACATGCATAATTGTCTAATCGCATTGTTTTCTACACGGTTAGATCCTCATTTAGATTGAGCTTAGTTTGGAGTAGCCCTGTGTTTATGGAGGTTGTCCGCATTGTGTGATTGGTTCATTTTTGTACCCATAATTGGGTGGATACACTTCGAAAAGTTTTAGACAAAATTGAAGCCGTTCGGTGGTTAAGGTGGTCTCACGACGACAGGAGGTTCTAATTAGCCAGATTTGCTAGCCGTCTTTCGATTGATCAGTGGCGAGTGGCGTTGATTTTGTGTATTGTTTTCCTAGTTTTAGAAAAACCTAAAATCAGGATGGAATGTACGTGATGTCGGAAATCTTGTACCCGGTGTAGTGCATACCGAACTGCTTGTGCTCATTCTTACTGTTGCTCCTGTGTTCGCAGATTCAAGTGCAACGAGGTGGTGACCTTGTCCTCTCCATCAATAGCAAAAACCTATTTGAAATTGAACACTTGCGAGTAAAGAAGGAGGGAGACGACTGGGAGGATTCTTTCCGCTCTCATACTGATAATAGACCCTATGGGCCACAAACCGTGAGCTTTGACGTTTCCTTCCATGGATCAGATCATGTTTATGGTATACCTGAGCGGGCCACCAGTTTTGCGCTCAAACCTACAAAGGGACCCAGCATCAATAACCATGAGCCCTATCGTCTTTTCAACCTCGATGTATTTGAATATTTGGATGAATCGCCTTTTGGCTTGTACGGTTCCATTCCTGTCATGGTTTCTCACAGCAAAAAAGGAACTACTGGTTTCTTCTTACTAAATGCTGCTGAGATGCAAATAGACGTTCTTGCACCTGGTTGGGAACACATGGGCATTGAACAGGTTGTAGATGCGAGCAGCTCGGATAAAGTTCTGACGAGTCAAAATGAAGAGAAACGGGTGGATAGTCACTGGATAGTGGAGAGTGGGGTTTTTGATGCTTTTGTGTTCGTGGGTCCAAGCCCCAAGGACGTGGTTACTCAATATTGTGCTGTGACGGGAACGTCAGCAATTCCACAATTGTTTTCCACGGCCTACCATCAGTGTAGGTGGAATTACAAGGATGAGGCCGATGTGGCTGGGGTGGACGCCGGGTTCGATGAGTACGATATTCCATATGATACTATCTGGCTTGACATTGAACATACCGATGGCAAGAAGTATTTCACTTGGGATAAGAACTTGTTTCCTAATCCCAAAGAGATGCAAAACAAAATTGCAGCGAAGGGTCGTCACATGGTGACAATTGTGGATCCCCACATGAAGAGGGATGATGGTTACTCTCTGCATAAAGAGGCCACCTCCCACGGGTACTACGTGAAGGACAGAGATGGGAAAGATTTTGATGGTTGGTGTTGGCCAGGGGCATCTTCATACCTTGATATGCTTAATTCCGAGGTTCGCTCCTGGTGGGCTAACAAATTCTCCTACAGTAACTACGTAGGTTCGACCCCTATTTTGTACATCTGGAACGACATGAATGAACCTTCTGTGTTCAATGGCCCCGAGGTACAACTTAGACTTTATTGAATATTCCTAACCTATGATCTACTTGAAGATTCTAATGGGCAGTTTTGTGCAATGTCCACGACGTGGATTGGTTCAAGACTGGACGGTGGAATGGGATTTCTTTAGTTCTAGGGTGTCCGTGAATATTAGAGTATATCGTATTTGGAGCGTTATGTTTGAGGAAAAGTATCGAGAGAATCGCTAGATTACTGCAAAAGAACTCTGGTCTGTGAAGAATTGATTTTCACTCTAGTTTGCACCTCCATTTTCCATGTGTTAGTATGTTTTGGGCAGAGTTTCTTACGTGAAGTCGTATCTCTGAGATATATATAATATATTCACAGTGTTTTCTCTGTTAGGCAACGATGCCAAAAGATGCAATTCACTATGGTGGCGTGGAGCACCGCGACCTACACAATGCCTACGGCTACTATTTCCATATGGGTTCTGTACAAGGTCTTTTGAAACGGGAAGGGGGTAAAGATCGACCCTTTGTATTGTCACGAGCCATCTTTGCTGGCACTCAGAAAGTAGGTGCTATTTGGACTGGAGATAATACTGCCGATTGGAAACACGTTCGCATTTCAGTACCAATGTTGTTGGCTCTTGGAGTAACTGGCATCGCGAATGCTGGTGAGTTTCAGTTTGCCAGGATTAGTATATATCGGTGAATAAATGATGGTTTCTTGTGTTGTATTTGTGTGAGGGTTTTATGTCTGAAATGAACCATGTTAATGGGGAAAGAATGTTGTTGATTATCATACCTTAGATGAGGACGCTCACCATGTTTGATCCTCTTGTCGCTTTTCTCTGATGTTGATTGTATGTACATTTTTGGTACTTACCTTGCTACTCATTGTTAAGGCAGGCTGTGCCCAAGGTAATCAGAAAATAGTGTTGAGGAAGCGTGATGGTGGTCTCTTTTGATTTTTTGTCACAGGTGCGGATGTGGGTGGCTTCTTTGGGAACCCAGACCCTGAGATGTTGACAAGGTGGTACCAGTTGGGTACTTATTATCCATTTTTCCGTGGCCATGGTCACCTCGACACAAAACGCAGGGAGCCGTGGCTTTTTGGGTAAACCTTTCAAGATCTCAGTTTGGTGTTCACTGGTTCTCTGCTTGCTCCGGTTCTTTTGTGTATTGTATTCAGTTCTGCAAATTTCTTCGAAGAGTTTGTGCCATCATTGGCAGTTTGTGAATATGTAGCAAGTTGTAAAACCCCTCTTGCAGCAGTGACTTCCTGTTTACCTTGTGTTCACATCGGAGTCGAATCATGGTTATCGTGAAATTGTGATATGCAGGGAACCGTACACATCACTCATGCGCGAGGCAATTAGTGCTCGTTACCAGATCTTGCCATACGTCTATACACTATTTAAGGAAGCCAGTGTGACAGGTGTTCCCCTTGTGCGGCCTTTGTGGATGGAGTTCCCTGAAGATGAGGCAACTTTCGCAAGAGACGATGAGTTCTTGCTGGGGCCAAGTCTGTTGGTACACGGAGTTTATTCTGAGGTGGGGATAGTGTTGACATCAATCAAATCCGTTTTAAAACATGATTATAGACTTGATGACTAGCTTGAGTATGTCAACTTGCTGCAAAAGCACGCTGAACTATGTCTTCCTAAAGTAGTGCTGGTATCCCACCCCAAATCTTTCTCCTCTGGTTTTCAAAGAAGCATTTACAATGAAGGCAGCATGAAGTTTGATAGATATGTAGGATGTGAGCATGTGAGCAATTGTACACGAGGACTTTTTGCATTATGATCGGGAAATCCAATTGACTCTGAATTCGTTGGTGTGAATGACAGGGAGCAAAGTCAGAAATGGTTTATTTCCCTGGCAATGAAACATGGTATGATGTTAAATCGGGGACTACCTTTCCAGGTGGAAAGGAAATGGAGATTCCAGTCAGTCTTCAGTCTGGCATACCTGTGTATCAGCGTGCAGGCACCATCATTCCAAAGAAGCTAAGGCATCGTCGCAGCTCCACTCAAATGCTGAATGACCCATACACTTTGGTATGTTATTGTTGGTACTCGGTGTTATTGCTACTTCTCTACACCCAAGCTAAGTTCCTTCAGTTGCAAGTTAGCTGCTTCATCTTCTTCTTCTTCTTCTTCTTCTTCTTCTTCTTCTTTGTGTCTTTTTATTCATGTATTTATTTTTGGTTGGTCGGTCGGTCGGTTGGAGGGGAACCAAATGATATCTGTGAGTCTAATGGGGTGACGTTGCAACAGGTTGTGGCTTTGGACTCCAACTACGAGGCTGAAGGTGAGCTCTACATCGACGACGGCAAAACCTATGAGTTCGAAAAGGGCGCTTTCATTCACAGACGTTTCAAGTTTGTCAAGGGGAAACTAACCTCCACTAACTTGGCACCCTCGAAGTCCAACCCGAAGAAGTTCACGTCACCTTGCCTTGTTGAGCGCATTGTTATCATGGGAGTTCGAGCCAGGGATTTGGTCACTGGTAAAGGCGCAGTCGTTGAGGGTGAAAGGTGGATTCAGACCGATATTGGAGCTCCGTCATTGATACCTGGTGCCCATTCAAGCGCTTTGATTCTCAGGCTTCCAAATGTGCGCATTGCTGATGACTGGTCTATTAAACTTGGTTAAGGATTTGGTAGGAGATTATCCAAAATATAGTGGGGTGCATCAACCAAATTCAGTTTTTAGTGCATATAGGGTGATGGAAATTAGAAGCATAGTGCCTACTGGATTTAGCATGGAACAGGTCAGACTTGACGAAGTGATTGTTCTTTATTTTCTGAATCCATTATCAGTTGGTATCATACCCATCTCTCTTTTCTGGGTTTTATCGGACGTAGTGGTGCAGGCCAGGCACCACTTCCAGTGTCAAGATTTATGTGATAGTTTCAGGTCAACGAGGATGGTTCGATTTGGACAGAAGATTTAGGACGGCTAGCCTGGCATTTCTGTGAGGATGTATATTGAAGCTGACTGCACATTGTGTGAAATCGCTCCAATTTAAGGTACATGTTGATAAGTCGATCATATTCCTCTAATTTGGCCGTTACAGTAAACGCTTAGTGGACCCAAATTGTACGAAACCAAGTCGTCATTAAATATTCGTTATTTTTCTTCACTTTGATCAATTAAACAATTTTCATTCAAATTATTTTCTTGTGAGGTTTCACATTCAGATAGCCTCAATGAACTATATCTCAGGTCTACTCATATATTAACTTAATTTTATTCAGCAACAATCCTCAACTGTCATGGTTATTTTGCTGAGATTACCAAATTATATTAATTGATGATTATTCTCAAAGGAATCAATGAATCAAGGAATCAAAGTATAGTTTCTGAAAGTACGAATATTTTGTACACATGTGAACATAAAATGGCACCTCTCTGCATACAATTCAACCAACAGAAAAGAATTCAATACAAAAAAATAGGGCAATGAAGCAAATTGTCTTAGACACTGTTGACGATTTAAAACTGGATTTTGTTGTATTCAGTTCAATTGCCTTCACTCCCGAATTGAAAAACCCAATAACCCACCCACCCAAGTAACCATTCCAGGCCTAATTTCTTCATCCAAGCAGCGTTCAAAGTAACATGAGATGAAGGAAGAAAAAACGTTTTGCATTCAAATCGAACGAACAACGTTCATCCAACCAGCAAGTAGCCCTAATTTGTTGTTGTGGAGCACTAGTCTCGGCGATGTGTGAGGCGACGCTGGCTGTGGAGATTGGGCTCGACGGGACGGCCCTCGACGTGGGAAGAGTGGGGTTGTGGTCACGAGGGATCTGCCGCGGGGGGCATCAGATGAAGGAACGAAGGACGAACTCGCTGTAGCCGTCGATTCAGGGCTCGCGATCATGGAAGTCAAGCGGAAAATGGCGTTGGAGCTAAACGACGTGGTGATCAAGAGCATGGGCATGGGCGCTGTTTTCAAGGATTATGTACGCTCCCTTCGATCCCGTTGCTTCCGAAATTGATATCATGCTGTGTTCAGATTTGTCGCATGGGGGGTTGTTAAAAACTCGTTTCGTGACAGCATGTTTTTGAAGATTGGTTTCTGCTGCATTGGTGGAGTGGGTTCGTGATGATAACGTTTTGGGGTTCGAGGAGGACCTTGATTCTTATTTTTATTTTCTTCAAGAAGCGAAAATTGGGGTAATTGTGTTAATGAGCTGTTGCATTCGGTATTTTTTCTTTTTTGTACGAAGGGAATTTATGAACATGATTTTTACTGGGTGACCGGCGGTACAGCTGGTGCTGTTGGTCTTAGTGTAGTTTAATTGTGGATCCTAGCATGTGGACTTGTGGACGCGGTTGTAGTCGCCTCAAATGAGCTTCGGAGCTAGAGTTTATGATCACTATAAAGTCTTTAGGGTTTAAGGTTCAGTTGTTTTCTACAACTGGGAGTGAGAATGGTGGTCAATTACTCATTGACATGTGGATTGTTCAGATCCCCCCCCCCCCCCCCCCCCCGACTGTCATAGACTTAGCGTGTTACAGATTTGCTTCCATAACAATGCATTCCTTGGTAGACTCTGGAAAAGTCGATGCTCTTAGCTAATTTGATGTTGAAGATGGAAATTCATTGATTAAGTGCTGAGTCCTGCCATTCTAATGGTTCGTGAATTTTGGTGAGGTTCCTCCGAAGTTTGCGGTATGTTATTTTTTTTTTTGTTGTTGTAGTGCATTCAGCGTCAACTAGTCGTATGGAACTAGCATGTCCTCTGGATCTTTAAATCCTTCGATGTATTTCAATGCGTTGCTTTCGTTGTGAGGAAGTTCAATAATAATGAGAATAATAACATCAATATTAACAGCATTTGAATAAATGTCTATAGGAAAAAGAAGTTGAATGTGGAGGTTTATTTTTAAAATATTAGACTTGATGAGAACAATTGGCTCACTTATTGTGGTTACTGTTTCTAGGGAGCGAAGATAAATTCACTCGATTTTCATCGAACCGAAGACCTTCTTGTCACTGCCTCCGACGATGAGTCCATACGTCTTTATGATTTCGCAAATGCCACGTAAGTAGTATTTCGTATGTTCAAATGGAACATGCTTGTTTACATCTTCCTTTTGGTTTTTGAAGTATGAATCTTCGTTGCCCTTATATTACTTGCTCTATGAATGCTTGCCCTTTCATGTGTAGGCCTCCCAATCTTATGTCGACCTGTAGATGATATTCCTAGTTTCTTTTCAAATTGACAACACATTTTTGGTTATGTCTGTTTCTCAACAGGTTGCTGAAAACAATTCACAGTAAGAAGTACGGAGTTGACCAAATTTGCTTCACTCATCATACAAACTCCGTAATATATTCTTCTAAGAAAGATTCGGATGGTAAGGTCATCATCAACTCGCTTTTTTTCTTTTTGTTTGAATTTTATTCATCATTGTGAGAGCATTTGTCAACCTTCGAGGCACTCTGTTGAGATGCCGTATTGAACTGGGGATTATGCAGAGTCTCTACGATATTTATCGTTATACGACAATCGATATTTGCGCTATTTCAAAGGGCATCGCGACAGGTCATTATCTCAGGCATTGAAATGATCGTGCCACTCGATTCTATGATCATCGATTTTTTCGTTTTATTTGCTCCAGTACCAGCCATCTTTTGTTTTGAGGATGTTCAATTAGCTTTGCTGTCGTGGCAGCGTCAATGCTCGGATATCGTTGCCATTCAAGTTGGTTTCATTGTCTACATGCCGGAATTTAGCAAAGGTGTGGTGCAGTGCAGGGTGGTGTCATTATGCATGTCACCAAAGAACGACTGCTTCATGTCTGGTGCACTGGACCACACCGTACGTTTGTGGGATCTACGCACCAATGTGTGTCAGGTAATGTGCTTGTATTCTGGACTTCACCTTCTGCAATATTCACTTTGTTTATAGCTAACTAAATACCAGTACGTACTTTATTCCTTTGAGTTTCGAGGGGTCAGAGTTTCAGTTGGGGACATCATTTCTGCAAGTCGTCAGCTGAGATGAGCCTTGTTTGATAATGGTTTTCTATCTTCTACAATTCAGATGGAACAAAGGGATTTAAGGAGTGGATGGGCCGAGAGGAATAAATATTCATAAGCTTCTGTAGAGTCTCATCATGTATCCCCTTTTCTTGAAGTGTCTTTTACGCTAATGACATGATTGCTGCTCCAGGGACTATTGCGTGTGAGGGGTAGACCCGCTGTTGCGTATGATCAGCAGGGTCTTGTATTTGCTGTGGCTATGGAAGGTGGAGCTATTAAGCTCTTTGACGTACGCTCCTATGACAAGGTTAGCAACTTAATCGGATGGTTACAATCAACTCTCGGTCAATTTTGAGTATGGTTCCATTTAGTACTTCTGTTTTTTTTTGTTTCATTGGCTCTCGTACTGCCTTCTCAATCTGTCTTGTCTTGTAAACAAGTGAATCGATGCTTAACAAATGCATATTTTTCTGTAACAGGGGCCTTTCGATACATTTTTGGTAGGAGGTGATACAGCTGAAGTGTCTGGGATGAAATTTAGCAATGATGGCAAGCTTATGCTACTGTCAACATCAAACGGTCACGTATATGTGGTTGATGCGTACAGTGGGAAAAAGGTATGCGTTTGGGTCGTAGTGGTGGTTTGGTTTAACTACAGTTGATTCTCTCATTGTGTAATTCATCTGTAGTTATAAGTGCTTACCTTTCAATGTACGATTAAGACATTGGCGGTGTCGCGTGTAAGAACAGCTTCATGGCTTTTCTTTGGAACCCAATCCTGATGGCGGAGTATTGGAGGCTTCATTCAGTCCCGACGCACAGTTTGTAATTGCAGGTAAATTTCCTCACTTGCTACACGTTTTATGTTTACTTTGCTCTTCTTCGTTGCCATTTGGACGTAAGGTGTTCGATTTATTGCAAGTGGTTCCGATTCTTTTATGTAGTTGTGACTTATGTCATAATATGGAGTTTGTGGTAGGTTTGGATCCTTCAAATTTCTATACTAAGGACTAGATTAGTTTTTTCTTTCCTTTAAGTGTGCTCAAACATGTGGACATGAGCACTGCCTGTGTAGAAGTTCCTGTTGATGGGCATCTTATTTCAATACTCAGCAAGCTATACTTGCCATCTTTGTGCAAGTGATGATAAATCTTAAATTTTAAGCTTATTAATCCAAGGTCTAAATTTTTGCAGGTTCGGGTGATGGCACTTTGCGAACATGGAGTACGCTGTCTGGTGTGGAGGTAATATTACTTATCCACATAATCATACTCATCAAATCAGCAGTATCTACCGTCGCCGATACTTTTAAGCTGCTTCGATAAGCACAGTAACCGAAAATTTCTGGTTTTTTCAGTACTCATATGTTACTTACCTGGAAGTTTTATTTTTCATTCCAACGTTTTATACCTGTGATGGGAGTCCTGTTTATTAACCAAAAAAATTCAAGAGCCACCAAAAGAACGTTTCCTGATAATTGGGATTTTATTCTGTTATGATCGCGTAGGTTTCGTGCTGGGCAAATAATGCAGGAGTGCCTGCGTGTGTGAAGTGGGCACCTCGCCGATTTATGTTTGCTACAGCTTCAATGGCATTAGCTTTCTGGATTCCTGATCTAACGAAACTTCAGAGAACAGATATCGGTCTTTGAAAAAGACGCATGCTACCACAACCTTTGCATATATGTATTACAGGGCGCTCCCTTTTTTTTGATATTTATTGAAGGAGATTTACAGCATGGCGGTTTCGTACCATGTCGAAAGTACGAGAAGAAAACACCTTTGCATGTAAGCTGGAAAATGGTAACGTAGCTCCAACGTAGCACTCTAGAAAAGTACTAAAGCTTGAAGCCGATGTTACTGTGTCCATTCATGCTTCATTTTAAGCACTGGTAGCTGACTTGATCTCGAGGATAAGTGCTATCCTAATGTCGCAGCCATTCACTCTTACAGTGTACGATGTTGCGGTGCTTGTGTTCAGATGCTTTCAATGGTAGAATTTTTTAATTGCATGCTCATTTTCGCATCTATCACGGATCGACAATTGACGCTTTGATGTTGTATAGGAGAATGTGTGTACTGCAACATGCAACTAGCACCACCACGACACTTGTGTTGTTTATGTTCCAGCTTTGAATATGCTCCGATGAGCATCTGTTTACAACCTTTTAAGGTGGTATAAATGATATTCTTGCTTGTTTGGATGCTAAAACCAAATCATTTTCTTGTACAAACGGAAAATCTAGAACTTCAAATTATCTTTCACGAAAAAGCTAAATTATTATATATATATATATATATATATATATTAAACCCACTGAAACTAATATGAAACTTGAATTTAATAATAAGAGCAAGAATAACAACACTAGAAAAAACTGAAATTATTAAAAGGTGATGGAAAAATGATGGCTTCGAAGTGTCCGACCTATTACCCAATTATGTAATTAGGGCATAAAAGTGAGCAGGAGAACCTAAAGCCGCGCGGAGATGTGACCGGGCCGACAACATCGCCACGTGGCTGCATCATGCCATCATGGAGGACCACATGGCGCCCACATGGAATACGCGAGTCCATATCCAGCCAGTAAGAGACACACGTGTCAAAAGAGATGGCTTTGAACGGAACTGCCGAGGCGTCCTACGCCAGCGTGCCCAGGTGACCTGTCAAGCATGAATGCATTGTTCACTATCACAAATTTCAACACAATTTTTAAGAATTTATGGCATTTCGTGGTGCAAATGCATGAACTAAATGTTGCATGCTTGACCAACAAGCAGATTTATTAAATCATAGTTTTTTTTAATAGAAAAATCCCCCAACACATTCTAAAAAAAACTATGGTTTTAATAAATCTACATGTATTAAATCCGATTTTGATATGTACAACAGAACTTTTTATTTTATTTTATTTTATTTAGTTAGTAAGGACATCAGATATTTATTATTAAAAAATGATGTACAGCATGAATAAAAAGAACAATAAGAACGTTAACAGTGAATGTATTTATACTTTAAAAAACTACAACAGTTCAATGCCTTTTTGCTGCTATGCATATTTAAATATGCATGCAAGTCTTATTCATATGCAAAATGCATGCAAGTCTTATTCATATGCAGTATGCATGAATGTCTTGTTCATGTGCAATATGCATGCATGTCTTGTTCATGTGCAATATGCATGCATGTCTTATTCATATTCAATATTCATGCATATTTAGATATCTGCATTAAATATTCATTCAGAAATTAAAGACTTGTATCTCTACCAAGTGTGCAAAATTGGCAATGAACTGTGCAACTCAAAAATAGAAGAATTATATCTTTAAAAACTAATATATACATATCAATTACATGATTGTTTTATAATGTAAAATATTTGCATGCTTGATTATGTAGAATGTTAATTTTAAATTTATGAAAAGATAATTTACATTTTTTTGGCACAAGTTGTATCCAATGGATTCTTATATTCAAGGTTATTTAATAATCATAATAATAATAAAAACTTTACATTATTAAGTGATTATTAAAAAAATATAAAATCCAATCAGATTAATTTTAAATAAATAAGAAAAAATAACTTTAAGATCATGTGATTTTACACAAAATTAATATTATCTACTTATACATTTTACAATTTTAATATACACTTAATTATTATTATTATTATAATACACTTAAGTATTATTATTATTATTATTATTATTTTATATGTATGTATGTATGTATGTAAAATAAATAAATAATACATTAATAACATATTATTTTATTATACTTTTATATTTACATAAAAAAATTATTTATATTTTTGGTTTGAAATATGTTATATATAATAGATATTTTTCTAATATAAAAAAGGAGAATATTGAGTAAAACCATCAAAATCTTAAATTGAGCCACCTTATTCCTACAATTCAATCTTTGTGATTACATATCTAAATTAGGAATAGAAAAACCTAAAAACTCATTTGTTTGATTCCACCTTATTCCATTGGTAAATCTAAAGATATAACAACTATGTTTTATGCCACAAGGGAGGAAGTGAGAAAAAAAAAGAGGATAAATGGTATAAAGTGGATGAATCCTCGCAATGTAGATACTAGAATTGGGTATCCAAGAGTGCTTCAAAATTGAAGTTATTATAGTGTGATGTTGAGAAAGACCCCAAATCCCTTCTTTTGGATTCATTTCTCTTACTATGTATTAAATTCATAGATTTTTTTTTTATTTTTTTTTATTTTATTATATATATATATATATATATATATATATATATTTTTTTTTTAATTATTTGCTTTTCTTCTAATTGTCATAGATATATTGCACAAAAGATTGAATAAGAAGTTAAATAGAAGAATTTCAATAAGAAAGCTAACAAGAACTTGATTGAACAAGATGAGTACAAGATCATCACCAAGAGAGGTAAAGTAGAGTTCTAAAAGATGTGTTGTTGAAACTAAAGATTCCCTCAGCCTTAATTCTAATGTATATTAGATATTAGGAAGCTTTTTCAAGAAATTTCTATATTACTTAAAGATAAAGCAACTTTAGGATGCTTCTCAAATAATTTTCTTAATCTTCTTAGAACTTTTTAGAATCTATTAAAATATTCTATAACCTTCTAGAATCTTTTAAACTATTTTAGAAATCTTTTTAAAATATTCTATTAGATTATTTAAAAATTATTCTATAATATTCTATTAAAATATTCTAAGAATCTTTTAGAATCTTTCTAAAACATTTTAGGATATTTAAAAAATATTTCTAAAATCTTTTCAATACATGTCTATAACATCACCTCCTTTTTTAACTTCGAATTCCATAAAAAGCATTGATTTCATATCTATAATAAAATGATCCAATCTTCAGCATCATCTTTAAGGTTTTCTTGTTTGAATTGATTGTAGCATGGACATTTTCTCCCTCGAGAAAGCCCAGCTTCATCTCAAAGATGATATTGCAAAGGTTAAGAAAGCTAGAATGGTTGATCTAATAGCAATGATATGAAAAGCTCCAACTCTAGCTCTACATTGAGATTTATGATCTAAAAATTCTATAAACACTCTCTAATTTGACATATTGGATCATAAATTGGATACATTAAATTTTAAGATTTTTGTGAGCAATACTTGCTCTCTTTGTTATATACATCCTAAAAGTAGCTTCAAAAAGAAGTCATCCCAAAATATGTTTAGATTTTTGAGGATAGTATTGATGAAACTCTTTAGCACATTAATTAAATTTATTGTTGGTTCCTACATATTCTCATTGATATTGCAACCACACTAATGAATAAAATAATCCAACTTGCTTCTTCTTTGCTGAGAATCAATGACCTTATTCACTTCATATTCTATAGTTTCAATATCATAAAAAATTCAACTATTGATATCTACCTTCAATATTTTAAAAAAGAATTTTCAAAACCTTGATATAAATTGAGGTCTTCAATTAAAAATGATGTCATTAGGCAGGCCAAGATATATATATATATATATATATATATATAGTTAAGAAAGAGTCTTATTGTTTCTTCTTCTAAAATATCTTTTTTAAATGGGACAAAATATGTCATCATTTTAAGTCAATTTACAATAATGTAAATCACATCAATTGTAGATGATGGTCGCAAATCAATGATGAAATCTATTGATACTTAAGACCATGGTTACTATAGAATTGGTAGTAGTTATAAAATTTCATAAAGACAATATCAAAAATTCTTGGAACTTGAACAAATATCACTCAAGAAAGTAAAGTCCTTTACAATCTTCTATATATAAGGCCATTAAAAATCTCAAGAGATAAGCTTCAATATTTTGTTAAATCCAAAATGTTTTACAATTGAGAAATTATGATGAGATTGAAGAATTCAAAGTTACATCAATCCATTTGAAATATATAAATGATCTTTATAATACAAAATATCTTCTATGAACTTGAATTTTTTATCGCCAAAGCATTGCTTGATATTACAAATTAATGAGTCTTCAACTAGTGTTGCACAAATTTCTTCAAAAAAACTTGAATCAATAGATATAACCATAGAAGTACCATAAAGAAAAAATTATTTTGGCTTCAAGAGAGTAGTATATTGCTGATCAAATGTTGCTTATTCAACTTTTCGAATAAGATACGATCTCTTTGAAAAAACATCTAATAGTTTTTATTACTTCCTTAGTTAATATGCTATTGAAAATTTAAAACAAAATAATGACATATTTCAACAAGCTTGGCAAGAATTCAAAATCCTACTTGATATAAAATATTCTAAATTTTTGTAATTTGTATATGTAGTCACATGATGTATAGCATCTTCCAATAAGTAATGCCATTCTTCAAAAGAAACTATAATTACAAGAAATTCTTTATTGTGAATTTCATAATTTTTCTCCATAGCTAAAAACTTATTAGAATATAATGTAACATGATTGAGCTTATCATTCTTTCTCATCTATAATAGTACAGCTCTTAATATAAAGTCGAAAGCATTAGTCTTGAAATAAAAGGCTTTTGTAAAATTGGAATACATTAAGATTGGAGCTATAGTAATTTTGTTTTTTGAAATCTTAAAAAGCTCTTTGTGATTTAGGTCTCTATTCCAATTTGTCTTTGAATATCAACCAAATGAGTAGAACAACAACTTGAGAGTAATTCTTGATAAATATCTAATAAAAATTAAAAAATTTAAGAAAATATTATACATCTTATAATAACTTTGAAGTTGCCCACTTTGTTATAGCTTAAACTTTCTTTAGATCCATCAATATTTCTTTATTAGATATAATATATCAAAAAAAAATCTAATTTTTTACTAATAGAATATATAATTTTTTAATTTGGCATATAATTTTGCATCTTATAAATTTTATAAGATTAAGCTAACATATTCTTTATATTCTTTAAGAGTCTTGGAGTAGATTCAGATATCATTAAGATAGCAAATAACAAAATTTTCCAAGAATTCTCAAAAAATATCATTCATCAAATATTAAAAATTTTCTAGAATATTTGTCAATAAAAA